ACACACACACACACACACACACACACACACACACACACACACACACAGTCTCTTTGCATTTTTAGTGGTATCATTAGTAAAGAGCATTCTTGGATGGTCTTGTCAAATTCCTCTCAAAAAGTGTAAATATCCAAATAAAAACACTAAAGTGGACGCACATTATTTAAACTAATAAACTTTTTGTTTTTGTATCGACACGGCTTAGTGGGACGTAGTCTAATACCTCATTAGGACCAACACAGCGACACGGCTCAGGTTGGACTCCGGTGGACTGTGGCATTCATTTATTTATTAATTTACTATTATTTACATATGAACATCATTAAACCTACCTCCCAGAATGAGAGTGATATAAATCATAAGAGTGTGTTTATGAACAGACGGTGGTTATTCTGACACTTTGATTTGATCTGGTAATGATGTGATGTCGATTTTGTGTAATTCTGCGGTTTATTAGTTAATTGTATTGATCTGCGTTTCAGACCGGAGTCTCTGCTAACGGAGACAACCACAGATAAACCTGTGACCGCTGTCTCTCGCATGAATGCACTTGAGTTCACTAGACCTGCGTCATAATCAGGGCTGCACTAATAATCAAAATTTGACCAAAATAAATAATAATAGCAATTCAATTTATCAGTCATATGTGCGTCTTATGTAAAAGAGGAATAACGGTAGAGTAGAATGAAACTACTTTTCTAAGTTTACCTCCAGGCAAAACCATATAAAACACATCAGGTTATTGTCCTTTCGGTTTATTGGTTCATTTAATTAGCACGAGTGCCGTAGTTACTAGTTGCGTCTGTGCACAACTGTTTGTATGTGTACAAGTGTATGCGTGCATGCATGTGTGAACCTATAACAAGTCTGTCAGGGCTCTTCCTGATAAGAGCAGGGTGTTAAACAGCAGCAGATGAGATTGGCTTTCCTCCTGTGCAAGATCCTAATCAACCTTGTCTTGTGAAAATACAAGCTTTTAACAGCCTGTCTTCAGTTCCTCGTCTATTTATAACAACGGCAATAATCTGCTGGGAAACGAGAACTCTAAAAGTCAATGGGGAATTTAATTGTGATGGTAAGAGAAATTGTAAGGCCCGTATTGAGTCATATGTAAGAGTTAATTTCCTTTAAGGAAAAGCCCAGGTTCTATTGAAACCAGCGATTACTGGTCAGGTTTCGGTAATCATAAATTGCCGGAATGGAGACTATTCAGAAAGTTTACCTAAACACTTAAATGTACAGTTGTATTTGTCCCTTACATAGGTCAGACACTGTAGTTGTACTCTGTGTAGGGGTGAATTGTTGGATTCACTTAGACGTTAAAGTGGACAGGAACCATTCTGGCACCTTCGACTAATAGGTCAATAAATCTGATTGGCGGTTTTCTTACATAATCATGTCAAGCAAGTTCATTTTTCCTGTGCTGCAGCCTGGTGTACCTTCTCGCAGATGCCATCGAGATATTCACCAAATGACAAAGTAATGTCGCCCCACAGTCATTTTTCCTCACTACACCGGCAGGACTTTACTGCAGTCTCCAGTAAGAAGACGTAAGCAAGACGTGTGTAGATTGCGCCACACTGACTCAGTCTTCCCTAAATGAAGGAATCAACAGTAGCGTGTATTGATTCATTGATTTTATTTTCATGCCCACCGTAGCGTGTGAAGGGAATCTGCCTGTGGGGAAACAGACGAGCTCTGACTGGGAACCTCGATCAATCAAAGGCGATACGGTGGATGAGTTCAAAACACAAATACAGCGGGATATTTGTGATTTAAATAGCTGTCTATGAAAGTTACGCTTCACTAAACGTGCCAAAATTAGACTTGAGGGACTACTGCCCCCGTAATATTAAGCCTGGACCCACCTCTGGCCCCACCAACTGTGCTGATCAAAAACAATCCTTTGGTATTCATCACAATTTTCAGAAGCCTAAGGTGGTGACTCCATTTTTTGTCCAATCAACAGTCCAAAATCCAAATGTATAGCAGTTTCTATAATCTGTTATGCAGCCTTGAAGATGAGGAAAATACATAATTTTTCTTTGCTTTAGTTATTACTTCCTTTGCTTGAGCAAAATGTCAATGTTTGGCAGCCATTTTTTCTTCTGGATATTCCTCCTTTTGAGTTAGGGAAGACGGCATCCAGAAGAAGCTTTTACACAGAACTAAATCCTGGCTACATACACAACATCTTTGTTTTTTTCTCTTCCATAATGTTGAAGAAAAGCACTCGGATTCATACAAGTGCCCCAGTTAATGACCCACAGACTCACAATCTCTCTCTAACTATCCCTGACAGTTGGCAGTCCTGGAGCAATGATCGGAGGATAAGGGTAATGGTTATAAAAGTGCTAGTTTTTCCTGCCTGGGGCTCTAGATTGCTGGAGTGCAAACACTACAAGCATGCTTGTCCACACACAYACACACACACACACACACACACACACACACACACACACACACACGCACTCAATATCTCATGAAAACATCCCATGTTGTGCGAGCATCCAGAGATTATCGCGCTAAAGCCCTCCTGAGATGGAGGCTGACCTGGCACATTTAACAGAGGCTGGTGGAGAGGGTTAGTACCTCCTGGTCTGCCTTTAACCTCTTCCATGTCAGCTCTTTCAGTGTAACCCCGGACCTTTGACCCTCACTAATCCGTGTGGTTAAACTGAAAATGGCTTTAGATGTGCAGTGCAATGGCGTTTTGCTATTTTCTGTTGGACTAGTGGAATCAGCTTGTTCGGGAGTCTTATATTGTTGTGAGCATCAATCTACGGGCATTGGAGTCGAATACTGTAAGTTTAGCATTTAATTAGAGTTTTCCATAATTATTTTGTCCATCAACACAAAATTAATTGCCATAATTTTTTCCTCTAAGATAGTAGACTGTTTTGAACGAGACATTTGAAGACAATTGCAATTGTTATAGTGTTGGCAACGGTTAGATTAATTGGCAGGTTAATTAATAGTGAACGTAATTGTTAGTTGCAGCCTTACATTTAATAGTCCGTTTATTTATTTTTTTGTTATGAGGAAATTAAAAGTCAAGCCTGCTTGTATTTAAAGTTGTGACCAAGCAGCATGATCAACCAATTGTATGATGTCTTCTCATTTTAAATTGTTATAGAAACAATAACGGTTAATTACATTTGGTTGTAGAGTTGCCATGAAAACAGGAATTTACCTGCTACACATGTCACGCTGAGATCCCATTTCACCCTCGCAGTCTGTATATGTTTTGATTTAAATGATTAAAAGAGGAAGAAGAATTAGTCTCTTGTCAGTAGGCGGCATCAGTCCAAGTCCAACAAGCTGTTGCCAGGAGAGATAAACAAAAACACTTCATCAGTGCATCAGTTAGGTGTCTCAACACATCTTCTTTAAATACACCAGTTGTTCCTTGACTTAACTTGATGGTATTTCCTTGTTTTTACTATTTAAATAAAATAGCATTGGTAATAACCTATCATGATAATTCTAAAGAACAGTTCGCACAATGTAATATTTTAGCCCCTGGCTGAGATTCATAGCGTTGGAAAGTTGACCTCCGCATTTTCAGAAGGGGCATTTCATTCTGGAATAAAACTCTTGATTTCGTCATAAACTGAATTCTTATTTCACAAAGGTCTCGATGCTATGATCCCCCCCCCCCCATCGCGTCATTTTACCCCCTTCCACCGCCTCCACGGTACCCGTATAACCCCAATTCCCCGCTGCTAAAGGCTTCCCAAGGGGGGTTTTATGGATCATGTTTACTGTTTGACAATCACTTCCAGTATTCGTGACCCAGTTCAGTCAAGCTGTCGCGGCTCATAAGAGTCTCCGATCTCCTACTTTTTAAGCATTGTATCTCCTCCTCCTCCTCCTCCTCAGCGATGTGAGGTGCTCTCCTCGCTCCGTGCATCTGCGTGCCAGCAATTAATAATTGAGCATCTCATTCGTGTCATCTCCGAATGCCGGGAGGAACCATGAAAGGCTGGAGGGAGGCGGGTGGAGATCGGCAGAGGGAGAAGGAGAAGATGCTGTTGGAGGATTTTGCACTGTGTCAGTAGGGTGTGCTGTCTACAGCCTCATTAGTTCTGCAAGAAAAAGTGTAGAGAGAAGGAGGGGTGAGACTTTGTTCTCAGTGATTAAGGGGAGAAAAAAACTCTGTCAGCACACTGATGCTGGGTGTGAATGTGTGTCTGTGTCTATGTAGGCGCGGTGGTTTAATAAGTTCACCCGTCCTTTACCTTTCTGTAAGCAAAAACCAGTCCCATTGCGTCACATTGCTGACGTCTGACTGGTCATTGATTTGTTATTTTCCCCTCTGGTTTTAATTAAAAAAGTCTCCCTCACACCAGCAGAAAATGTTCAGCCATGATCACACAGGCTGCTGCCTTATTAACACCAGAGCACCTTCAAGCACAAAGGTTTGATTTCGGCTTGACGTTGTTTTTCTCTGACGAGGTGACGTTTTTATTTAAGTGCCAGCTGGTTAACAAACTGACGAGTGGAGGCTTGAATTGACGCTGTGCTTTCATAGCAAAGATAATTACAGGTTTTCACACCCTCAGGTGAAGCTTAAGTAACACCTGAACTGATGTAGACTGATAATGAAGTAGCAAATGTGTATTTCTTTTTCACATTTTCCAAAATAACTGTCTGTCATGTTCAAAGTTTGATACCACTCTCACGTCTGTATGATTAATGTGAAGGCTAGCTGTTTCCAGGCTGATGCTAAGCTAAGCTAACTGGCTGCTTGCTGTAGCTTTATATTCACCGTACAGGTAAACGTATTTCACAAAATGGAATAATGCTAATAATTGTGAATATGTTTTTTTATACTACATAGGACATGCATTAAACACAACTTTATTGATTCGTCATGCAATGTTCTATTTCACAGTTTTAGTAAAAAAAAAAAAGAATAAACAAAAATGACAAATGTTGTGAAAGTAAGTCAAATTCACACACTTTGAATATCTGTTTTGTTTGAAAATAGTCAGGATGCCTAGACAAACTGAGAAAGTAAATAATAAAATCTCGCTAAATAGTCCTAATATGTGCAGGCATAGTGCAGCTTTCATTCTTAATGATCATTAGGGCAAAAAGAAAGCAGTTTATTGACCCATTTCTGTCTACCAATGCTGAAACTTAAGTGCTCATGTCAAATTCCCAGAGCTAGAAAAAATGGTATCAGTGTTGCATGTCATGAGAATACTTCCCTCTCTGGGTCTCTACTTCCTCTTCACTGTCCATCACTGACATGTTTGATGCAGAACTGAAAAACTAAGAATCAAGCTGAAATTCAAGTAAAAACACACACGCAATCCTATTTTTACCAAAATCCACATAAAAATGAAAACGGCAGTTTTCTCAGAAATGTGAGCAGACCTCATAAAGAGGTCATATGTTATGTTTGGCCTTCGATCTGTCTGGCCGGTTGCATATGAATAAAAGCAAGCGTTAACGTCATTATCCGTGTTCATAGCGCTTGTTTACATTCTCGGTAGGTTGGCGTACGCAGGCTCTTTGATAATCCTGCATGCACAAGGTCCTGTGTATCTCAGCCTTGTGAGATTATCTTTTTGCGATCCCTCTGGTAGCCACGGACGTCACGAGGTAAAGTAGAGGAGCAAAACAAACAGCTGATGCATAAAAAAAAAATGTCATCCTTTAAAATTACCAGCATGCTTTATTAATACTGACTGTGCATTTCATTTCTGAATTTCATATCTAGTGAGTTGTTTATCTTCAGGCAAACTCCCCCAGTGGAATCTTTTGATGTTCCTAATTTACATTAAATTGGCTCGAGCGTGGTGGAAGCATGTATCCGTGTTTGTTTGTTTACCAGTCATGTTGTAAGAACCTGACAGCCAGCTACGTCACCCAGAGGTCGGTCTGAGTTTACTTCGCCTGCGATGCCCAATTTCCTCAACTGTGTGGGAGGATGAGTGATGATTCATCAGTTCATTCATAGTTCTCTCTCTGTAGCACACTCGCTGTCTCATGTTTTGTCCTTTTTAACATTTATTTTTTTTAAAGCAGCGATCTGATTTGGCCCAGTGAGCAGGCTTACATTGCTGTTGGCATTAAATCGCAGCACCAGTGCGTCACCATGTAGATCAAGCAAACAGAATAGCAAACATGTCGGCATTGAAGCTCGGGTTGGTAGTCTTGAGATACTAGCAAGAGTATGTTGGATTCAAAAATATGATCTAATGAAAAACCCAGCACAGTGTAGCTAGCAGCACTAGCTGCAAACGTTGCTGAATCTAACCTCAGACCTCCCTCCAAAGCCTCTCCCAAAATTATTATAATGAACATAAACAACAAACATGGCTATTGTTAGTACTCACAGCTTTCAAGCTAGCAGATACTGGATTATACAATTTTAATTTGAAATTATATATACTAGTGAAAGATATTGCCTTAAAATTGCTCAATTTAAATCAAACTTGAAGGCCTATATCTCGCCAGTTTTACACAACTCCTTAGTCACTATTCAGAGTCATTATATTTGGGCCATCGCTGTTGCGTTCTGCGATAATTTGTGCTCAATGTGTCTTTTCTTTCTGTCTTCCAGCCCTGACGATATCGGAAGCTGCTGGTACATCCTGTTGTCCGGCTCCGTCTTCATCAAGGAGTCCATGTTCCTGCCCAGAAGCAGGTAGGATCAGCGGCCATGTTGGTTCTGTTTGAAGGCCTGATCTCGGCACTAACATGCGAGCAACTTCTGCTCTTCGAAACCTATTTAGAACATTCACATCAGGAGATAAAAAGCTAATCCTAGACGAGCAAGAGAGAAACTATTTTAATTTATATTATCTCAAAAAAAAAGTTAGTTTCACTCTTATCAACTTACTCTCATCCAGAGGAGTAAATAAGGATGTCTTCTTTTCACCAAATTGGCTTTTTTTAAAACATCGTTTGCAGACTTAAGGTTACAAAAGACACCCCAGCTTGTTGTTTATTTCTCAAAAGGGAAAGTTTAAATCTGATGATTGTTTTTTCTATCATTAAAAATAGATTTTATTTAAGTAAGAAAAAGAGAAAGTGGCCGCTGCTGCCAACTGCAAGCTCCCTTTTGTTTCCAAAAAGTTTCATTTATATATTTATTTTTTTTATGTGTTGACATCTCAATATCGGGCAGAAAATTTGCACACATGATTTCAATTTTCACTTCTTGCTGGTGTATTCCAAAAAAGCCCGATATTCCAGTGCTTCCCATACACCGTGTGTAGTTCCTTCACTCAGCTCAGAGAAGGATGCTGGGCTGTTGTCCTGCATTTTATTGCAAGGCTCCACAGATGGCATCAGCATAACTTTTCTGCAATTCTAGAGAAACAAAGCATTCTCTCTTGCATAAATTCTCTCTGTGCGTCCCCAAGAATAAGGATCGAACAAGAGGAAATAAAGGAAGACAGCATAAAATGCACATTGATGTCAGAAAAAGAGCTATAAAATTGTCTTTCTGAAAAATGTTACAACCGAAAAATAGCCGCACGCATAAATCCACATACCTGCAATTGTAGATAAGCAAAACACTCGATCTAGTCCACTCGACAAACAACTCTTCTATGAGCAGATTTCTACAAATGAAATAAGTAATGCTTCAGCTCCAACATGTAAAAACATCACTACATTCCCTTTCCACTTGTTTAAAGCAACTAAGCTTCACATGCACAGCTAGAACCCAGAAAGTAAACAAGCAAAATTCAAGTAATTGCTGTTAAAAGTGTACATAATAAACACTTGGGTATAATTTTAGCTGCATATAAATACATAGTGTGTTAATATAACCCATTTAATACTTAACCAGGGAACTTAAAGTCAATTGCCAGGACTTTATAATATCCTGAGCAACAGCCAGCTACTTTTTGTTTGTACTGTCAGCCACATTGAACGGAAAATATAATTAGTGTGAAGTCGCACTAAACGTCTCATGATTGACATATAATTCCATCCCTTCTTTACTAATAAGGTAGGTTGTTCCAAGAAACAAATATTGAAGTCTTTGAGGAAAGACGAGTGGTAGAAAGACATCAGAGCCATTATGTATAATAATTAACTACAACACCCTCCGAGGACTTCAGATTCCATCGGCTCACAGCACTGATCACCACCTCTGAAGCCAAGGTACAAATGTTAAAAAGCTGCGATTTCACAAGTGGTTCTGTTACATGAACCAGCTCTGTGGGCGTCCTGAAAACAATGATCTTTTCATCCATTAGGCTTGCGTAACACACACCTACAGACGGGCCACTCTGAGCACTTGGGCCAGCGCTTTAATCGCGGCGCGGAGCCGTCCCCGGCAGTGCTGCGGGGGTCGGCTCCGGTCATTCTCCGGATTCACAGGAACGTGGGAAGCATTTAAAAACGGAAGGCTCGATCGGAAATGTGCCAAAATGTGCTGCACCCCTCTTGAATATAACCTTTCCAGTTTTGCCAAGGTGAAAGTGTGTATGTGGGACGCCGGAGGAGGATTTGCAGGTATTGGCAGATTAAAGTTAATGCCCGACCGCAGTCACTGGGGAAGAGCCCTCTGAAAATGTTTACTAAGCAAATGTTGCAAGGAAGCCGGAGTAGGGGTCCACTCTGCTGCATGAGCCAAGACTGTATATGGTTGATAATTAGCTCACTTTTTCTTAGAGTGATGCCAACTGCATTGCACAAGACATGTCTTGTTTTTTCAACTGCACCGAATTAAACACAAAATGCACATCGAGCACAGTGTCACTTTAATCCCAATATAAAGCTGAATAGTTTGTCTTGAGAACAACAGCTAGATAAAACTGGCACTAATGTACATTAGACATGGATGTATCCATCAGTAGCCTGTTTACATCCATCTGTATAAACTCACTCATACGTTAGACGAGAGCAATGGCAGCGTCTGACATTTTCTTGACCTCCTGTGATCATGAGAGTATTGATCGTCCTCTCTCGGAAGCAAAGGTGGAAGTAACACGATGTAGTTATAGCGCTACAAAATCTTTCGGGTGGTCGGGCGTACAAAGATTGCATCCCATATCCCTCCAACTTTTAATGTAAGTTCCTTTCCACCTTGACTGTAATACATGTTTTAGAGGCCTAATAATGCAGCAAACACATTTTTAAATACGGCTTAGTGTTATGACCTGATGACTCCATTGCGTGATAAATGAGCACATTTGTATAAAGATAGAGCACTCTATTATTGTCTTAGCCTCTAGCACAGCGCTGGGTGCCGCTGTAAAAGCATCATTCATGGAGGGGAAATGAAGTGAGGTGACAAGAAGACATTTTTGAAATGACACATTCAAAGTGACACATTGTGGTTTAGAAGTTTCCAAGGACTTCCGGGTCGATGAAACTCACTCACAACTCGAATCACAGTGTATATTTACAAATGAAGCAGGAATAGAGGATGTATCGCCCATTCTGTCGCGACAGCGTCGTATTGCTGTTTTCCCATAAACAGTGCCGGAGAAAGTATAATCAATGCTGTCGATTTAAATGGAAGCCACCCCACGTCATGACACACTTCCCGCTTCAACATGCGTTTCAGTGTTTTCACATGAGTGACATGTACGTGACATGACTATTGACTGGTTGTTCACGCAGCCAGGCATTTCCACTTTAACAACCTCTTAATGTTTCAACCGTTGTAGCATTTCAGACATAGTAAATTTTCGGTTTGCATTTCTTCAGACTTTATTCTCTGTCATTAATTTTTTTTGTTTTGTTTTAATGGCCATAGTGAAAAAAGGCGTAGAAATGGCGAGGGGCAAAATGGCTGGTAGGGGAAATTGGTTGTGCCACAAGGAACTGAATGGAGTCCAGCAGGACTTCCTGAAGCTTTTAAATATGTGGTGGAATTCGGTTTCAGACAGACCTTGCCCAGAAATGGCTGCTCATATCTCCTCTGGCAGCAAGGTTGAAAACCTGATATGCTTCCATCACTCAGTCTCTCGGTTCTTCCGTCTCTCTTTGCTCCCCCTCCCCTCGCTGTGGTGAGATGTGAACCAGGGGGAAGAGGAATGACTCAGTCACTGTGTGAAGAGGCTGATGCTCTGTGCCTTATTTAACCCAGAGGCCAGCGTGAAATCGAATACAACCCAAATAAATAAATCTGAGCAAGCGGGTGACGCAGATTTACAGCGTTTAGAAACACGTGCTGTGTAAAACATGTAATTAAAAGAAGTCAGTAAATGGGGCTGCATGGTAATGGTTTTTGTCAGATTAGGCCATCGCAGAGTGATTCATTTTCGCTGTGACTTGGCGGAGAGACACGGGAGACTACTGGTTGGACTCGGACCAATCGCAGCCCGCCATCTTTGGTGACATCAAGCCAATTGACTCTTCCAACCGGCAGCACCAACGGCAATGAATTTTCCTTCAGAAAAGTTGGAAATGTATGAGCAAGTTAGAAGTTATTTATAAAACGAATTTTTCTGAAATTAGATGCGTTGATGCTGCAACTCTGTTTTCTGCAACTCTACAGTTTTTTTTTTTTTTTTTTTTTTTTTGTTTTTTTTTTTCCCCAGCAATGGTCAGAACCATAATTTGGCAAAGTAATAGCTGTCTTAACAGCTTTTTTTTTTCCCTTAAATCAGCAACATTTATGAGTGTTGATCTTATTTTCAAATGTTGAGTAATGAAAATTTTTAGTTCCAGTTTCAAACACGTCTCACTGTATGGAACTTTTAACTTCTACCATGATATACTCTTTGTTAACCCCCCGCTGGTTTGTACTTCCCCTTCTCCGTGCTGCCGCCTGCCTTTATTATCACTATCCGTTGACTGCTGTCAGGACTTCACCTCCGGTCATTCACTGAACAGTTTCCTGATAATCCGCCTCATATTAGCTAACCAAAAACCACAACTCTTAACTGAATCAGCGCACATCAGCAGCCGGGGTCCGAGTTAGCGGAGCAACGTCAACCTCGTCGCTTTTGTTTGTGTGAACTGCTTGATGAAAAGGTCAGTAAGGCATCAAATCATTTTTCTGACAGCCAGCAGCAGCTCAGGCAGACTCATCTGTGAATGCAGATGACAAACTGATCCAGCGATAATTTATTCTGTGTTCGCGCAAACGCAGACGTCACTGTTGCTCACATACTCTATGTTCTGCGGAGGTTGACAGAGAGTGGTAGGCTTAAAAGGTGATTTTTTTTTTTACTCCTCACATGGAGGAAAACAACACTAACTGACTGCCAACTTCATGTGTTTGCTTCTTGGATTGAATTTAATGTGGTGGCTCCTGTGGTGACTTTCGTATCCCTCTGATTGTTGAAATGTGTCTACAATTACATATTTCAAAACTGATTGTGCAAGCGATAATAATAGTTTCCCTCTTTTTTTTTTTTTTTTTAAGAGAAAAACATTCATAACTAACTTTGTCAGGTTGTTGCCAGCAGTGACTCATAATGACCAATATACCTGGCTACACTGTCAAATATACATTGATTGTTTTGACGTGAAATTATGAGTGACTCGGCTCCTTAAATTGTGAAGTTGAACTGAACTACTGTTGAATAGATCACTTTGTTCAAGAGCTGTATCATAATTTAAAGGGGCACTCTACTCATTTTTACACAGCCTGTCATATTAAGGACACTTACCATTTTGAATAAATGTGGTATAAATTGGGGCCATGAAGTTTGAAAGGCGTAAGTATTTACAGTT